GCAACAGGCCTGAGGAAAAGACGGTGGAAGAGGACACGGGAATAGACAATAGATAGACGACAGTTGTTTGTTAATGTCATTTCACAAAACCTCTTACCTGGAAGGGTCCTTAAAATCATCAGGCATAATGACTCCTCATTACAGACTGGGAGGCCAATGAGAGAAGAGATCATGCCCAGCTTTGTGCAGTTAGTAGCAGAACTGGCTCTAGAACCCAGCCAAGGCCTTCCCCTTCCCCTTCCCCACATGGCTTTGATGGATTTCTTTGGAATAAAAGATGGCCAAGGCTGGCATTGGTAAATTTTCCAAGCAGACAAGGACTGCTGTAGGCATATTTTCACTTCAATTTCTCATTTCTTGTGGTGCCCTCTATTCCCAGTTCCCTAAAGAAATACCCAATACCTTCCTGCTATCTATCCTCTGGCTACCTAATAACCTCACCCACCCCAGTTCATACCTCCATTTTTGTTTTTCTTTCTTTATAAAATAAGGGTTTTGTTTGTTTGGTTGGTTTTTTGAAACGGGGATTGAAACTAGAGGTGCCTTACCTCTGAGCTACATCCCTAGCCCTTTTTATGTTTTCAGATAGGGTCTCCTAAAGTTGCTGAGGCTGGCCTTGAATTTGCCATCCTCCCATCTCAACCTCCTGAGTTGCTGGGCTTATGGGCTTGTGCCTCTGTGCCCAGCGAACAAGGGGATTTATTGAAACAAAAGTAAACTGCCAAAGAGAGGGGCAGTGGGCTCACCTAGTGATGCTAGGAAGCCCACACCTTCATTTTTTTTCAGCACACTGATGACAAACAGCTCCTGGTTGTTATTTCTTTAAAGAAATTCATGTGAATATTCTGACTGGTGCTTAATCTCCCTAATCTCTTTTCCTGGTGGGCTTACTTTGGAACCCAGATAAATTTGCAGGCATTAAATATTTAATACAGAATGCAGAAGGATTTTTTTTTAATCTCTTCTAGACTAGTCAGCTAGAAGGGCAGAATTATGGCTTTGTTCATTTTCAAGCCACAAAGAGCTCAACGGGAAGGGAAAAGCAAGCTAGGGATTAGCAGGGCCAGGGGCAGAGATCTTTTGTTCTAGGTTGGAAGTAGTCTAAAGCGTCAATGTGTGAACACAGCTGAGCTCTCTATAGGACAGTAGCAGTCCTGGGTTACAATTGAAAACTGGATTTGAAAATGGAAAGAGAACTTCCAATAGATCCATTTGAAGCTGATTTATGACTTGGAACTCATAATTTAGAGGGAATGTTTGATGAAATCGATTTTTATTTTCTAAATGGGACTACATTTAAGAAATAAGAGGGTATATTACATCCAGAGAGATGCTGATCTTTAAAATATATTGTGGGAATGATTTATCTTAATTTAATCTAGGATTATGTGGAAATTTAGTTTATCAGCTAGTGCTGGTATTATTTGGGGAGTTCTTTTCTTTTTAAATATTTATTTTTTAGTTTTTGGCGGACATAACATCTTTGTTTGTATGTGGTGCTGAGGATGGAACCTGGACCGCACGCATGCCAGGCGAGCACGCTACCGCTTGAGCCCCATCCCCAGCCCTGGGGAGTTCTTACATTAGACAAGATTAAATACAAGATGATTTTCCCTTATCTGAAAATTGCAGGTAATAGATGGAAGAGATTGAAAAATCCAGGAAGAAACTGGATAATGGAGCAGATCTTTGTCACAGCAGAGTGTGGAATGATGAGTGTTTGGTGAAGGATGAAAACTAATGACGTAGAGTTGGGATTCAAATCCAAGAAAAGTAGATGTTGGCAAGAGAGGAGGGTAATTAGAAAAGAGGAGGGAAGAACAGTGGAAAGGAGATCTGGAGATGAAGACTTTTTCAGGACAAGTAACACTCCATGGGTTCCCACCATGTGTGATTTTGCCAAGGCCCAATGCAACCTGTCCAATCAACCATGGAATGAGTCAAAATAAACCTTTTTTCTTTATAAACTGATTTGTCCGAGCTATTTATTATAGTGATAAAGCTGACTAATACGCAAATTATCCAAAACAATAATGACTGGGCAGTTACCTATTCTACTTCATTCTGACGAGGGACACTCATTTGGCTATATTGGCTGGTGGCTACACTGAGTCCGAAGGTCCGGGAAGACTCCACTCATGTGTCTGGCCCCTTCCTATTCCACAGGGACCTTTCTCTCCACATGGTGTCTTGGTAATCAGCCTATGCTCCTTTGCAGCATAGTGGCTGTCTCCCCAGAGAAAGGAAGCAGAAGCTGCCAGGCCTTTTAAGGGCTCAGCCCAGAAACACACAGCCTCTCACCTCTGCTGCATTCTCTGGGCCTCGGGAAGCCACAAAGCCAGGCTGGATTCAAAGCGAGGAGGGATGAAGAAACTTCATCTCTTGACAAAAGGAGTGGCAAAGTGTCATTGCAAAGGAAGTGTGGGATGGGAGGAACTGTTGCAGTCATCATTGGAAAAACCTTCTACTGTGTTCTTTTAAACACAGGAACCATTAAAAATAATTAAAGCAGATATATTAGTTCAAGAGAAAATAAATGAAGCATATTTAAATAGTGACCTCATTAGTTATTTTACCAATTGTCTTCCTTTCTTTTGATCGTTGGTCTGAGTTTGTTCTTGAGTCCTTTTGTAAAGGGTCAGAGAAATATTGTGATAAATTGAAATTAAAAAAAAATCTTACAGCCTCAAAGTAAAGTTGTAAAGATGTTCTCAGGGATAAGCATCTGGCTAATCAGTCTGGAGAACATTTTGTTAGTTTTCCCATTTGTAAGACTCCCAGTCCAAGACACAAAGAATAGCTTGCATGTCAGCTTTTGAGCTGTTCCAACCAATATGAAATTAAATAACAAGTTGTAGAATTTACATATGAACATGGCAGTTTTTCTCACTTAAATATAAAGAATTAGATAATAGGGCTGGGGATGTGGCTCAGTGGAAGTGCTTGCCTGACACATGTGAGGCACTGGATTTGACCCTCAGCACCAGGAAAAAATTAAAGGTATTGTTTCCATCTAAAAATAATAAAAAAAAGAATTAGACAATAGACTAAGAGCTGAGTTGAACAGAAATTAGGAGACACATATTTTTAGTTTTTATTAAAATGAGCTAAAGAACAGATTCAGGCTAACATATATTTGCAAACATGAAGTCATCAAAGTAGCTAATCCTATATGTAAGTTTTCTAAATATTTAAAGCTGTGTTTTTAAAATAGCATGATGTTATGTATATTTAAATAATACAACTAAAACTACTTTGCAGTAAATTGGTTCTAATAATTTAAATTATCATTATGCTAATTATCAAACTCTAATTGACAAATAGTTACAATTTTAACTGATTTGCAATACTCCTGCTTCTATACAGTTACTTTCTACAATACTAAGTAGACGCCAAGCATCTTCAAAGTGACAATATTTAGTGACATGGTCAATAAGTAGTGCTCACAATAGAAAACATAACTTTAAAAATACGAAACATTTATATGCCTTTTGGGTGGGATTACCAGTTTTCGGCTTAAGTTGTAGGTGTAAATAAATTATTGACTGAGCCCAAGTCCCTACTGCTGAAATAAAATTGTTTACAATTTAGATACATGTGTAGAATTCCATTAAGTTATTGTCTAATGAAATTACTTAAGTTTTTGCTGAAAATAGAAATTCACTAAACATTGTTTGCCTGGATGGATATCTTCACAGCGTATGTGTCATTTCAAGCTAACTGGAGTTAGATTAAAACATCAAACATCAAAGGATGAGCATATACGACCCCAAATTTTAAGAGCACACATATTTTATTTACATTAATTAAAATCTAGTGAAAGTTAGCTTCAAAATCCACTTTTGTTTATAAAAGCTACCATGTTTAATGGTTGTCTATCAACTAACGACTGTTGACTTGATGGAAATAACAGGGTATAGGGTATAGCAGTCTGAATGTTTATGTGAGTGACCGAAAGCAAGCCAGGGAGAGAGAGAGAGAGAGAGAGAGAGAGGGAGAGAGAGAGAGAGAGAGAGAGAGAGAGATTGATTTTCTGGCTAGATCATACACGCCAAAATTTTATCTTGATATTGTTATTGAAAAACGACCTCTAAAGAGCCTCTTCTAACAGGCGCCTACAAATCATCTAGTTTTTCTACCCTCTTATTTTATGAATAATAAAATAAAAGTCCCCCAAAATTTCACATACTATCAAGACTACACAGAGAGTTGCAGCCAGGCCAAGAACCTGGTTGTCCAAATTCCCAGATTCAATAATGTGTTAGTCTCTAACTACAATTTTTTTTTTTTTTTTTGCACCAGGGAGTGAACCCAGGGGTGCTTAACCACTGAGCCTCATCCCCAACCCTTTTTAAAATTTTTATTTTGAGACAGGATCTTGCTAAGTTGCTTAGGGCCTCTCTAAGTTGCTGAGGCTGGCTTTGAACTTTTGATCCTCCTGTCTCACCTACCCTGACTCCCCCAAGCTGCAGGGATTACAGGGTATGACAACACGCCCGACTCAACTACCACATTTATAGACTTCTAGTCTAGTAAAACAAGAATGAAGCTGTTGAGTTAAAAATTTCAATACAGAACATACATACATACATCCAGAACTTGCGAGCGACATTTATCTTCATGTCCTAACTAAATGCATAAGAAATTTCTGTCTTTACAATTAAACTAATACCTTACAGTAATTCCCCAGTGTTATCAAGATATTACTGTTTGTGGATCATTTTTGGATCATTTCTCTTCTGATAGTACATTCTAATTTTAAAAACTTGTGCAGGGGGTGGGGTGTGCAGAATTCTGTACCACTCAAGTTGTTCCAAAACCAGGCTTGGAAATCATTAGTGGTGACAAATGACAAAGAAAGTGCCAACTTTTTGAAAAATTGTAATTCTATGGCAAGTATGCTAAAGAAGCAAAAAACAGCTTCAGAATTTTTTTTTCAAGTTAACTTATTAATGTCTTCTTGTTGGGGAAATCTGCAGTGATATATCTAACTCAAAAGAAGGGAGATCTGTTTCCATTCTGCATTCTCTATCTGAAGGCTTTATTTTTACTCTTTTTTTTTTTTAAATTTTAGTTGTATAGATTGTTGTCAATGCCTTTATTTGTTTTTATGTGGTGCTAGGATTGAACCCAGTGCCTCACACTTGCGAGGCAAGTGCTCTACCACTACAACTCCAGTCCTTATTTTTACTCTTTACCAATCATCTCCCCAATCCCAAGGATTTGAAATCACAACTTATTAGTGATTCAGTCTCCTTAATCTTCAAAAAGTGACCTGCTAAAAGGATTTGGTGGTCAGGGCAAGTTGGAATGATTACATTCATATATCCCCAAGACTTAATCAGAGACTAAAGACAGGCCATGCACCTTGGCTTCCAGGGCTAAGAGAGTCTAATTAAATGTCCTTTCTTTCTTTCCTTTTTTTTTTTTTTTTTTTTTAATGAAACTCCTCTAAGAGTAAGTAAAGTCTATGGGGTTTTTGTTTTTGTTTTTTGTTATTGTTGTTTTGTTTTAAATAGGAGATTGAATCCAGGGGCACTTAAACACTGAGCTACTTTAATTTTTTTATTTTGAGACAAGGTTTCCCTAAGTTGCTGAGGCTGGCCTCAAGCTTGTGATCCTCCAGCTTCAGCCTCTTGAGTTGCTGGGATTTTAGGCCTGTACCACCTTGACTGGCTCAAAGCCTTTAATGGTCAGCAAAGAGCACTGCAAAAAGGTAGTTTGGAGTCTCCCAGATACACATTATGAAGTCTGAGGGAACCTGCAAAGTGAGAAGAGATCATGCAGAGGGGGCATTCAGAGTGACATTCAGGTGGCATCAATCACCGTGATGGTACAGGATTGGGACAGTGATAGATTAAAAGGTTGAAATTGGAAGGAATGAGACAAGACCCAGGTAAGTCAGAAATTGTACAATTCTCTAAAGGAAACACATGGTCATAGAATCAAGTGGGCTAATGTGAAGAGCCTGGGGCAAGATTGCTTATTGAAGAGTTTTCTAAGAGTTATCACTGAATTTGGGCACAGATCCTGAAGTGCATTGGGCTGAGAAGTGCAAGGAAATTTTGTGTAGTTTGGAAGTGAGAGATTTGTACTTGAAACAGAAAAGAGCTTGAGGATTGTGCCCCAGAGTGATACAGGCTTGGGCAGCAATGCTCTGTAGCCTGGGTCACCTAGGGACAACCACACTGGCAAATGTAAGCAAAAGATTATTTTTCTTCACAGTAATATAACAATATGACTGTATCAGAACATTTTCTAAGGTTAGATGCTTTCTTCTCTCCCTTCCCCAGGGATACTCAGTGATAGATTTGAAGGAAAAAAGAGACAGAGAGATATGATAGTTTGAATTAATTTTTTTTTAAACAGGAAAAAACCCCACCACAACAAAATATATTACATTCTTCAGGCATGGGAATATAGGACTCCTGAATTAATTCTTACATGAAAGCAAAAATAAGAGAAGACAGTTATCCCACCAATCCCTGCCAAAACTTCATCATTAAACATACAATTGAAAGCAAAATCGATAATGGAACCACATACTCCCTGCTCATTCTCTCTCTCTCTCTGTATTACATTATAGGTAGACATGCATGCGTAATATGTATATATGTTTGGGAGAGCTGGAGCAGATGAGGAGTTTGGTAATAAAAAGGCTTAAATTAAAAAAAAAAACTATGATGGCTAAAAAGAAATCTGTCAGTAAAGTTGCCTTTTATCTTTTCTTCCCGATTTTTCCCTGAACCTGTGATATCATTCTATTTTAAAATGCAAGAAACACAAATCTGAAGAGGTACACTCTTGACAACAAGATGAAGTAATAAGACCCTGACAGCTTATATTTACCCCTGTCAAAGTCCTTCTACTGGGCAAGGAATGATTTATTTAGATGCTGTAATTCCTTAGGAAAGTGGATGCTCCTAAATAACTGAATGAGATTTTCTGGAAGTTTACACAGCCATGTTTATAAGAGCAATGGATCTTCAGAGAAGAACATAGGATGTTCTATATGCTTAATTCTTGGAGCCAGACACAAAGAATTTTTGTAATGTAGTATATGTGTAAAATTTGTCGACATTTAGGCAAGAATGCCAGCCTAGGAGCAGGGAAGAGTTAATCCAATACTCTTAATTTTTATTGATGGGAACATCACTGTTTTGTGCCTTCTGCCAGACAGTGATAGACAGCCCTGTACTATTATTTTACATGAGTTCCATATTAGCAAACTAAAAGTTTTTTCAATCATTCTGCTTCATTTTAGATTTCCAAGATAAAGGCATCTACTATGATAGTTCAAAACTTATAAATATGTGTGTGTGTGTGTGTGTGTGTGTGTGTGTGTGTCTATGTGTGTGTTGTACTGGGGGAATGTATGTCAAGTTCACTTGGGAAAATACTCCAGCACAATTCTGTCTTACCTATTGAGGTGTTTACCTCATTTTCTTTTTCTTTTTTTGATAAGAGAAACAAAATGAAATTAACTAAAAGACAACCTTCTTGCTCTTGTACGCATTTACAAACTGGACCTGTTTATGATGCCCTTAACAGTTTGGGGGCAGTACAAGTTTGTAGAAGCTATGGATGCCAATATTTGGAACAAAATACTGGCAATGAACTGTTCAGATAACACATTAAGGAGGACTGGTTTAGGTATGGAGATGATTAAGTCAGAAAAAAAGAATAGGGCATCATGAGGTACCATCAGAATCAGCAGGCAGTAATTCAAGATCATTATTGTCAAGAGGATAGTGATTCCTTGTTGTTTGTCCATAATTTGCTATGTATGGAATGTGTGTGGAATTTTCTCTAGCTAGCTTTAAAAATAGAATTGTCAATGTCTCATGAGGCAGAGGAAATATAGAGTCTGCTCTTGAATCAAGGAATAAACCTAGATAACCTTTCAAATTTCCCATCCTACACCAATATAAACATGAAATATCAGTTTTGCTCAACAGATATAGTTACAATGAGAGTGAATTAAAATGCAGGAACAAAATGTCATTCCTTAAACAACATATAGGTGGGAGATTTGATAAGATATTATGCGTTAAGCTTTAAGATATTATGGGTTCAGTTGAAGCAGGATGATAAATGAAAATCTTTTTTCATAAATTGAAGTATAAGTCCACAAATTCTCAGTATAAATTGTCTAAGAAGGACAGCTCTGATGAAACTGAAAATGTTTCCTCCATATGTGCAGTTTCAGGCCTTATAACATTTAAAGAAAATGTTCTAAAAGATAAAGTTGGCATGTAAAAAGCACAGGGAAAGGAATCAGCAATGATCAGAGCAAAACAATTCTAGAAGGCATCTTAATTTTCATATGGCTCATTTGCATTTGAAACACTGAGAATTCCTATCTCGCTTGTACAAAAATATGTACATATTAAATTACTTTGCACTTGAAAGAACATTTTCCTAAATGTTTGGAAGATGATCAAATTTTAACTGGAGGACTTGTTTTCTTCCATCAGGTGTGGGGGAGATGTGGCTTCCTGGTATGAGAGGCAACAGTTGATTCTAATAGCAGAACAAGACAAAAATAAGAAGGTAAATTGAATACAATTCCTACAGATACAGTTTGAGTTCAAGGTGGTAAAAACAAAAAGGATATGTATGGTACAAAGATGTCAAAAGCATCAATTTTAAAATCATGCTTAGTTATCTTTCCAAAAATGGCAATCCTCTGATACTTGAAAGTTAGGTTCTATTAGTTATTCCAGGATTTTCATGGATGTACTGTTATTTTATTCCGATACACTTATTTCTGAATATTTAGTCAATATTTAAAAAACAGCTCTCTACCAGCTATAAAACAATAATTCCAGGGGTTGACATTTCCCTCATTTCACATTTTTAAAAGCTAGGATATTGGTCAAACAGCACGGGCTTCAAACCTCTTTACTACTACCTCTTAGACACTATTTACTCGTAAGGAAGATGTTGGTCATTCACTCAGAGACGTAGAAACCAGAATCTAGATAGAAATTTAAACTTATAAGATGTAATCACACTGAATGAAAAAATCTTTCTGTAATTTTTAGTTTCTTTTCTGATAAAAGTATTTCTAGGAATGTCCTCAGAAAGAAAACCAGAACCTGAACGGCATCCTCTTCCACCCCCTGGCCTTGCTCTCTGGGCCTTCCTAAGCAGAGGGAGCTATTGAGTGTGGTCTCAGGGTGGGTGCTGAATGGGGCCCATGGGGTGTGGGTGGATAAGATGCCGTTTACTAAGGGTACAGAACACATTGTAATCTTTTAAATGAGATTATCTAGGGCTGGGGATGTGGCTCAAGCGGTAGCGCGCTCGCCTGGCATGCGTGCGGCCCGGGTTCGATCCACAGCACCACATACCAACAAAGATGTTGTGTCCGCCGAGAACTAAAAGAATAAATATTAAAAAAAATTCTCTCTCTCTCTCTCCTCTCTCACTCTCTCTTTAAAAAAAAAAAAAAAAAAAAAAAAAAAAAAAAAAAAAAAAAAAAAAAAATGAGATTATCTAGTGCAGATTATCTGCCTTTGTGTTCCTTTTCCTTCTGTTGTCCCCAAGTCTTTGGAACCCTTCTGCAAAGTTTCTGCTTGGCATTAGTTGGACTCAAGACTGTGAAGGAGAAGGTGGCGGCCTGGCTGTGCACCAGAGCCTTAAAGGGAAAGCAGCACCCCAAGCCCCCAGCCCCCTCAAGGCCAGTGTGATGACAATTCCTCAGGTAGAAAAACAAATAAGGGTGGGGGCAAGAGGCAGGGTGGGCTGTGACACTGTTGTTCCTCTCAGGCCAGTGGTGCAGAACAGGTGAGATATTTTTAAGGGAGCAATGATCTTTTTTTACACAATTCACACTGTATTTTAGATTGCTGCCTAAAACTTATTTAAACAAACTATTTTTTTGCTGTTATATAAGTGTAATAGGCACTGGGCTTGATTTGTGCAAGATTAATAGTGAAGGGTAAATGGCCCATGAGATAAAAAGTTGGATACCCAGATATTTTACATACACAGAAATAATTTAACATTTCATTTTATTAATTAGTTTGATCGTTTTTTTTTCCTCCCAACAAACTTCTGTTTTAACTACTAAGAGATGGGGGTTGAAGGGGGGAGACTATCTTTTTCTTTATGGAAGGCATGCTAATGAGAGGATAAATGACCAAAAACTAGATCAAAGATAGAAGATAGAAGATTAAGTAAGCACAAAATGTGATAATGGTCAGCCTCTGATAAACTGAAAATTATCATCTTAGTTTATTAGTAAACTATATATATATGTGTGTGTGTATGTATATGTATGTATATATATGCATAAATACTAGTATATATGTATAAATACTAATATATTTATGCATATATATACATATATTAGTATTTATTAAATACCTTCCATATGTCAAATATTGTTTTAGGTGCTGGGTTTATAAAATAAAGAAAAAAGAAAACCTCTAACCAAAAGAAACCTACTGTCATGAAGTTTCTGTTTTAACTTCAAAGTTATTCTGAGACCAAGTGAAGGACTAATAAGCTGCAAAATTAAGGTCAGTCATAAGAGTCACCATTTTGTTTTGCAATATTAGCCCATTTTAAGATAGGATTTAATTCCCAGATGTCTGGTTTCATCCCTTTGTTTCTGTCAAAGCTTGTCCTTGATTTTGAGGTAAAGCCTAAAAACGGCAGACCTAGCTGTCTTCATGGGTGAAAAATGGAAGAGTCAAATTTCTTTTATTGTGCATCTGGAGGCAACGGAAAGGGAACTGGATTCTTTGTAATGGAAGTAAAAGTCAGTTCTGTTGTAATCAGGGTTTCACTGTACAAAGTTATATTTTACGTACACGATCTGGCAGGTTGCCAATGTAGTAAACGAGTTATGTGATTATTTGAGTGCAAGCTGGCACAGTGGTGTGCACCCATAGTCCCAGTTACTTGGAAGGCTGAGGCAGGAGGATTGCTTGAGCCTAGGAGTTGGAGACCAGCCTAGGCAACATAGTAAGAGCCCGTCTCAAAGAGAAAATAAGTGTAGTTGGAATAAGATTTCACAGCAATCTGAATATTTTCATAGTTTTCGATTTTATTACGTCAATCATCAATATTTATTAAGATAAACAAATGCAACTTAACCAGAACAGGAAAAGGTGTTGGCGTCTACCTTGTCTCACTTTGAAAGGTAGAAAAATGGAATAATTTTTAGAGCACATTAACTTTTGAATGGAGGTACCTGCTGACGCCTTCTGTTTCTTCCCTCATTACGTGCTTTTCTTTTCATTTGATCCTCTTGAAAGGAATCAAAGTAGGAGCTCTCTAGGAGTTGGGCACAGGTTAACCTGTCATCTGGATTCATCTTCAAACACCCCTTTGGAAGAATAGAAAAGCAAAGCAGGTATTTGAGGGGCTTATTTTATTACTGTGCCCCAAGCCCTGAACAATAACTTGATGGAGTAAACATTAGTTTAGAAAACCAAGTGTATTTACTATATTTGAACTGGTGAATGGAGCTGCTCTTTGGCCTGGTGCAGGGCACAAAACTGTAATTCTAGTTACTTGTGAGGCTGAGGCTGCAGGATTGCAAATTCAAGGCCAGCCTGGAAAACTCATTGAGACCCTTTCTTGAAATAAAAAAATTAAGAGAGCAGGGGATGTAGCTCAGTGGTAAAGTGGTACTTCAATCCCTGGTACCAAACACAAAAACAAACAAATAAAAAAAAAATGGAGCTGCTCTTTTTTTTTTTTTTTTTTGCTGCTTCAGGATAGATATGGATATTCAATGTCTCTGGGAAAGGCCACGTGTAGATGACATGTTCCCACTAAGACACCTTTTCATCACTGGTGAAAGCAAACCATAGGAGTCTTTCGAGTGTTGAACTAGCAACATCAGCGTGGCCCCAGGAGCTGGTTAGCATAGTAAATTCTAGGGTCCTACCTGCTGTAGCAAAAGTGCTAGAGCTGGGGCCTAGTAACCTGCACTTAACTAGCCCTCTGATGCCATATGCTGGAGTCTGAGAACCACCGGTATAAGATGGCTGAGGAAGTGCGAACCTCAGTAATGGGAAAGAACCCAAAACATGGAGAAATGAAATGTATTTTCATACCAGAGAAGTAAGGGCCTAGGAACTAGGTATTGTGACACTTCATATTCAAGGCTATCAGGAGTCTCTAGGACTGCCTCTGGGATCAGGGAGCACTGAGACAACAGAGGAGCCACTGGCAATCCTGACACAAAGAGGTTTTCCCTGAGAAGCCCTGATATTCTCTGTTCAGAGAATGAAGCTTTCCCCCATCTAATAAAGGCAGATTCCAATCCATAAAGAGTTGGAGCAGGTTTACAACACTCGGGCACTGATGACCTGAAATTTCTTGTCTATACCCATAAGAGAGAAATGAGGGTCACTGACATAACAAATATTGTTCTGAGGCAGTCAGGTATCCAGAAAACTGCATGCCTGACGCTGCCCCAGCCATGGGCTGCCCTGTCACATCTGCTCCTTCCTAACCCAAGTTGATCTCTGAGACCCCTGTGAATGTTACAGGTCTCTAAGCACTGTCACCTGCCCTTAGAGCAGTATCTGATTAGTCCAGCTCTTCAAGAAATGACCTTGCTCAGCATAACCAGACTCACCTGTCCCTCTGTGACTATGACTTGCTCCAGGCAGGTCACCCCTAAGTCTTGATCCATGCATATATTAGTTCTAGCTGCTATGGGGAGGCAGTCTTCTCAAATCCTATTACTGTCAGGGCTATAACCAGACAGAAAGACTATTTTGAATACAAACTGTGATAGTCTCTATTTCTTCATCACTTCCCAACTTCTGATTCCATCATTCCACACAAGTGGCTTTTGTTATTAACACCCATAACCTCTATTTCTATATCATAAATCGAATAGTTATTTTCAGTTCTGATCTCAACAGTATTAAATACTACTGACCAGGTCCTCCTCCTTTCTCCTGCCCTCTTGGTACTGGGGATTGAACCCAGGGTGCTTAACCACTGAGCTACATCCCTAGCCATTTTTATTGGTCTCACTAAATTGCTGAGGCTGGCCTTTAACTTGGAATCCTCCTGCCTCAGTCTGCAGAGTTGCTGGGATTACAGGCATGTGCCACGGTGCCCAGCTCAGGTCCTTCTTAAAACTCTCTTCTTGGTCTTTGCTTTTCCTTTCCTTTCCTTCCTTCTATCTCTTGACCACTCTCTTTCAACTAGCCATTGCTAGTGTACTATCCCCCTAATGGTTGAATGGAATTCTTCCCGACTCAGTCCTAGCTTCCCCACTTTCTCACCTATTCTAAGTTTCTACTGATCTCGTTAATGCCCATGATTTCAGTTATCAAGGTTTATCAGAGTTTTCCACATCTATAATTCTATTCCAGTCCTGTCCTCTGAACTCCAGAGCCACATATGTAACTGTCTACTTAATAATACTTCTTAGTCTTGAGAACACTGTTACCGGTTGAATTGTGTCCCCCACAAAATACATGTTGAATTCCTAACTTGCTGTACCTCAGAATGTGACCTTGCTTGGAAATAAGGTCTTTGCAGACGTAATTAGTTCAGATGAGGTCATAATTAGTAAGTAGACCCCCCAATTCAGTTCTTATTGGTATCCTTATAAGAAAATTAAAGACAGCGTAGAGACAGACACATAAAGAATGCACCTCTGTTCAATAACAGAGGTGGAGACTGCAGTTATAACATCACAAGCCAAGGAATGCCCAAGTCTCCCAGAAGCTGCAAGAGGCCAGGAAGGATCCTTGCCAAGAGACTTCAAATAGAGCGTAGATCTGCCAACAGCTGGGAAACAGAGTCAGGCACCTCATCCTTGCCATTCTCTTCTTACTCCCCATGTATAAGTCATAATTAAGTCCCACCAGTTTTCCTTTCAAATATTTCCTTCCTTCCTTCCTTCCTTCCTTCCTTCCTTCCTTCCTTCCTTCCTTCCTTCCTTCCTTCCTTCCTTCCT